AGATATGTTAAGAAGTTCTCAGTTTGTCCAAGACACTTTTCCAAACAAGCTACAAAGAAAAGGTACAGTAGTGGTGTTTTGAAACCTAATAAACCTCCACAGATCAAAGTGCAAGAATTGGGAAATCCTTTTACAGTTGTTTGAGGGAAAGAAAAAAAAAAAGGGGAAGAAAAAACCAGAGAGAATTTCCCCCTTCGATTACGCCACTATCAGTTGGTGGTTTCCTCTAGTCACATGTATTCCTCAGGGACACTGTGCATGAGCCTCCCAGTGAAGTACTGAGCAATATGACAAATGTCTTTCATACATATGCAGAAGCAGCATATGCAACGGAGCGTCTTGTTCTAGAATTTTCTTTATAGGTGAAGTATACACATCTGCAAGTAGAGGCAAACATACAGAACGATCGGTTAGAACAAGGCCGAAGAACCACACCTTGTCTTAGAGGAGAATGTGATGAGCCATGGTCCCGTCAGCATTTATTCCACTGTCTTGGATTCATCTTAAAGATCTTCCTACCCACTATTAAGCAATATACCAACATGGCAGAAACATCTTAGTCTATGAGCACAAGGGGCCACATGACATTACTATGCATCTCTCATTCCAGTCTTGCAATCAGCTGTACACGATCCTCTACAGCCTGTGCTGTGCGCTGCTCGCCCTTCCACTCAGCTCCAGTATTGCAGAGGCAGGGGTCATGCCAGTCTGTACTTCCCCCATCCTCTCTCCAGCCCCTATTTGTCTTCCAGCAGCCCAGTACAATGCTAGCACACGAGGTTGAAAAGTTGGCAGGGAAAAGGGTTGTGCTGTGACTGGTAGGTATCCCCGTAACGCCTTGTGCTGCAATCTCCAACCTAGTAACCCAACCTTCAGTGAGACCAGGGAGAAGAATATTAGAGTGAGACCTAAAGCCCTCTGAAATTTTAGTGATCTCCTACTGTCAAACTTCTTAGACAAAAGAACTTCTTTTGATATTGACATTGTATCTTTTCTTCCTTTTGCAGCATTTTAATTCCCCCATCTAGAAAAGAAATATGCTTATTCAAAAGTCTGGAAATTTAAATAATTTTTTTTAAACTTTATTGCTATTACTAAGCAAGACCAGCTTCGTAAGTTGTTTTCACAGCTACGTATCATTGTATCCTGTTTTAGGAACCACTGATGTAACACTAATAATCTCACTTATCCACAAAATATGCCAACTGCCATGCTCAAAGAGGCTCGGCTACATGGCACATCCTTTGGATGCAGAGCAGAGTGCTCTCTCAAACCTTACCAACCAAGACCATGGTTATGTTGCTAGTATTAAGTATTCATGGCTGTTGGTAACAAGAAAAACAAAGCTACCAGAACTTTAAAGCCAATCTGGTACACCCTACCAGATTTCTCCAAATGCCACAGGAAAACAGACACCATGCTTCATAAGAGTTTTTCAGCTATTTTAAAGAAAAAGGATCCCTCCCACTCCCAGTCTGCTGAGGACAACTTTTCCAAAACTCTTAACAAATCTACTAAAAGCAATGATTCATTGGCTTGATCCAAGTATGTAACTAGGCACCTTACAACACAGGGCCACGTCTGATGCTGAAGAATTACACAGATAACATTACAGTGTTCTTTTTTTAGAAAAAAAACAACTCTGACCTGTATTCTTCTTGAGGTTTTATGTATAGTTCTTTTTAAACACATCAGAAATTGGTTTAAGTGACCCATACACAAAGAAACAGCAACTAAAATGAGGAAATTTCAGATCTTAGCCATTTCCTATTTTGTAGTTGGCAGACATAGATCTAACTGATGCATATTAAATTTGCATTGATCAACTGTACCATGAAGAAAGAAAAATGCTTTCATTAACTCATGTCTACTTTTTCAAACTTGTACTTGCCGATTTAAATGGCATTTTAAAACAGTACACGCTCCTTGGTTTTGCTCATTGGAGTCTGTACTTAAAACAATGGTGAAAACCAACCTAGCACATAAGCAACATTGTTTTAATGCACAGATGTGACTGGAAAATACTAGGTTCTTCATCTTAGTCTCTCATGTAGTGAGCTAACACACTATAAATAGTCATCTATATATAGACATTTCAAATGTGCTTTTTCAAACCCTACCAATCACATATATTTACTAACCCTGAAACTACAACAAGTTTATAACAATTTAATCAGAGCTTATCCAGGTAGAAGTGCACATTTCAAAGGGATAACGAGTACTTGTTCTGTTCATTAAGTGCTTGTCCTCACATTTCTGACTAATTCATTCATTAGTAGCTACATACTTCCCTTTGGATCCCCAAAGGTCTATCTACCTCCAATTTACCTCCAATTATTCCTTCATTTTCTGGCCAATTTTATTCTCCCAAATGTTTAGAATAGATTGATTAAATACATTAGTATCTTAAGACCAAATCCTATTAAACTTATTTACACAAGTCCCCTTTAGCTCTGCAAGTCACTTACGCTATGAAAGGCCCAGAATCTGGCCCAATACGATTCTGGAAAAGTAAGAATCACTACACATCAGCCTGTTTAAAAAAAATAGACTATAACACAAACAACTTATCTCCACAAAACACATGCATCAGTGATTGAGTTTCTTTGTGTGCAAAGCCAGAAGGCGGCTTGGGTCATGCATGTAACGCCAGCCTAAAAAAAAAATAAATGCTGTAGTCTGACAACTAAAGATAAACGTGACTGCTGTGCAAGGCGGCTCAGGAACTTTTCCCAGCTTCGGCCACTGAGCTCGGACGGGGTTACTCTGCTGCAGGCGTGCTCATGGAAAGGGCGCACAAGCAGCCCCGTCCTCGCTCAGGCACGGGAACCCGCTCCCCTCAGCTCAAGGGCGGCAGCACTGAAACACGGGCGACGAGCGGACTCCGGAGAGGCAGCGTTAAGGTAGTTCCCTCCCGGCAGCCGCGGCTCCCGCCAACGCCCGCCAGGCCGGCCGGGCCCCCCGCGCCCGCC